AAGTCTCTAGTAACTTTACTCACATGGAGTTTGAGCATGAAATGTACCTATTTTACACAAATCATTAAACCTCATGACATGTTATAAGCCAATCCACGAATAAAATAAATTACATAATAAGCTTTAGTTAGCCATGTCCCAAAGCATTAGCATTTATTAAACATCATTCTAAAATATAGGCATTAAAGAGACGTAATCTCGACATCACATGAGTCGCATAATTTTGCCAATAAAACTAAATGAGTAGACTGCGGTCGCACAAAAGTCGCTCGCCTGTGAATGGCCTAATAAAAACTGATTGATGTATTAACTTCGAGTTGTCATTTCATTAAATGGCTAGTGGCCAGTGTTGTTTAAAAATATATTTTTGAAAAAAGAACGTTTACTTTTTTTTGAATTCATTTTTATGTTTGAGTTGTCTTTTTTATTTATTATCTGGATAAATATAACAATAGAACAACAGAACTCCTGCAGATTTTGTTTGTGAATTTGGATTGAATCAAAAAAGAATGTTTGATTATTAACAGGATCTATTATATAAAAAAAAACCATTCTGGTGTAGTTAGGTATTCAAATGGTTCAATATTATTGTCTTAGTAATTACCTACCTTTATTTAAATCATTTTGAATTTCACATAATACAAAAAACATATTTTTTATAGCTTTGTCAAACGAATTTGATTGTGTGGTGACTAAGAATCAAAACATTCCTCATAATTTAATACATTTGATTGGATATTAAATTTCACCAAACAATGCAGTATAATTTCTTTTCCTGCGAGGAGGAAGTAAGTAGTAGACATTATTTACTCGATAGTTAAAACACATCAACAAAGATAACATACTTATAATTAGCAACGCTATCACGAACATTAACTTTACCCTGGCTATAAAATAATAGTGAATGTGACTATTTAAAAAGACCATCCTGCATCAGTTATGTATTACGTACGAAAACAAGTAATGTGTACATAAAATATTTTTTATATTAAACGGCTATAATGAGCGCTATCCTTTAACTAAAACATCGCGGGTCACTCACAAGAATATACTGAGAAAAGCTCTACTAGTTTCGATTTTTCGAACCACAGAGGGGTTCAGGGTAGCAGCATGGACGGTCGCGGCGATGTCGCGCAGCCTACTGTAATCCACGATTTTTAGTTAATCTACTATGTCTCACGGTAGTTATTATAAACACTCATAATATAAATAGTGAAAAGTGGGAAAAATTGTACAGCGGCATTAAGTGCCGAAATGTGCACCTACGGCGCAATGTTATGCTATATTGTATGGTCATCAAGATTACGAGGGTGTACCAAATATCAAATCGTTCTTTTGTCAGAAAGGGGGTAATATTCGAATGACTAAATTTAACCCAAACAAACAAACGGAGCAAGGTAAATAAAACCGTTTGAAAAACCTGCTGGAGGAAATTGACACATCGTTGCATACTATATAGTTCGGTATTGCAATGTTGTCGTGCACCGTTAGTCATTTTATTTTTCTAACCTGGCGGCCCGAGTCAAATGGCAGCGCGGTGGATACGGAAAATTGTGCGTAGTGTAAAATTGTATAGAGTTGAGTTTTCAGTGCACTAAGATTTTTTATGTACCTACTTAATTTTTTACGTATCTACCTATTATTGGAAGCAAGTATTTTTTTTAAGGGGGGAAAATCATCGAATGACTGCTCCCGCCTAGGTGAGGCGGGAGGGAGTGTCCGACTCTTACTGACTGAAGACCACCCCGTTCCTTCTTCTGCACGTCGAGCCGGAGCCCCGGTTACCCGTTAAGTTCTCCGCGACAGTGTAAAATTGTATAGAATTGTGTTTTCAGTGCTCTGAGATTTTTTTAGTACCTATTTTTTTTAACTACCTATCTCGTTAAGTTTCAGTGGTTGCGTGAGAAATATACTGAATATAACTTTGATTCTCTGTGGCTTGAAATGTTATGTTATTTAAAATTAGCTACTGAATTTTTTTAACATTCCGATCAATTGAGCAAATAAATTGGAATTGAATGACTGGAACGTGGTGTTTGGGAATAGTTTCACTATACATATTAACATTTAACTATTAGTTTCTATTTTATTTTTATTATGTCGTTATGTGAATATAATGAAATGATTTTGTTCTATTTTTGAAATATGAATTTTTTTATTCGTCGTATCGAAATCATACAAAAATTTTCAAATTTTCTTTCTTAAGAAACATGCTTATAACAATGTTTAAAGGTCACCTTTTAATTTAGATAGTGTCAAATTGAGGGTAAAAACGCATCTTATCTATCTTTAATGTATGCTATTAGGACGCTAGACCAATTTGGACGGCCGTAAAATTTGTTATTACGTACATTAATCTACTAAAATGTTTGTATTAAAATATTGATAAGACTGGCTTGTCAAACAATAAAAAAATCTTAATCATTCCTTGATGCTTAGGCAGTGTCTCACTGGCTATTTATTGTTTTTTATTTTAAGAAAATCGTCCACTGACTTCTACCGCCCGGGTAAAGCGAGAGGGTGTGTCAGACTCTTACTGACTAAAAACCACTCCGTTTCTACTCCTACACGTCGAACTGTAGCTCTAACAACCCGTTAAGTCCTCCGCGGCTCCGTATCGGCATCAGCCCTACTGGTTGTGATTGCCATTGCAAAATAGTTTTACATAATTAACTTTCAATCGAGTAAAGTATTGTTGGTTGTTTAATGGGGATGATGACAGGGTATGAAAATTAAAAATATAATTAGTCCGTAAGTTAGGTAATGAAAAAATATTAGACACGTATTTTTTTATTTTGTCGTATAATAAAACAATACTTAGATAAAACGAATCAAAGTTTAGGAGTGGGGGCTAAAACGTCATTCCTTAGTATAAAATGTACTGAGAAGTGACGTCACGCGACATTTCAAATCAATATATCTTCGAAACTATTCGTTTCTGTGAGAAAATAAAAAATACGTGTCTAATGTTTTTAAATAATCTATCAGACGGACATTAAAATAAAAATTAGTCGTCTACCCCATTCTTTTTTCTATAATATTATATGCATGTAACAATAAGGTTTACAAAATAAGAATGGTTTTAACTATTATAATTTTCTGGAAATTATTTAAGTATAATATCTAAATCTAATAACAACCAATGAACAATGGGTACGTGTTTTGATTACATGTCCAAACACACATATATCTTTATTGAAGGTTACTGTAACACATGCTCTAAAATAGCATGCTAAAAGATGTTCTATTGCATGCTTAATAGAACATATTTTAGCATGCTATCATATAGCATTCAAAAATGTTTAAATATCGAACCCCTGTCGATTAACTGTTCGCGAATCGACTGGCGTTCGATTTTTGAACTGAAATGGACATGCTAATTTTGAGAAATATTCCGACATAAATGCTACTTGACTGTGCTCAAGTGGGTACTGGCCAGCTAATCAAATTCAATACTTTTTCTAACCGTCAAAACACGACAGTTTTCTATGAATTTTGTACGAGATTGTGTATTGTGGCGTCACATTTTTTTAGCATCAAACAACATATTTATCTCTTAAGAATTTGCTGGAAAAATACGAAAATAATTTTGATTTATTTATTTTCAGCCATGATCGTCCCACTGCAGGCCAAAGGCCTCCCTTTCTTCCTTTCACTCCTCTCTATGTAAAGCTTTTTTCGGCCAATCCTTGTCATAGATGTCTAATTCGTCCCGCCACCTCCTTTTACTTCTAAAATTAAGTTGGTTATAAAATCAAATAATGAAAGTGTGATTATTTTTTTTATGTTTTATTGTATTGCACAGTCGATATAATTTATATTTAATAAAGGAACGTACCGAATGGAAGCGTGGTTGCGTGCTTGTAATGCTGACATGTGTAACAGTACCTTAAAATTGCAGAATTTGGCTAGCAAAGAATTCAGAAAAAAATAAAAATGTAATCCCACACGATAAAGCCATGAATAAAAACTAGAGTTATTTGAACAATATTAAAAGGATTCTACATAACTTAAATATAAGCCGCAGCTTTACCGCAAGTTAACGTTCTTGACCGTAAAGGTCTGAAGGTTAACTTACTCGTAACGTATACGAAGGTCGCAGCTTCGAGTCCCGGCGGAGAGGTTTATGAAATTGTATTGGTCTCGTTATGAGTCCGTGGGACATTGACTGTGTATGTGAAATAAAGTGTAAAGATTTTTGGCGATGTCGCGCAAGCTACTGACATCGCCACGACCGCGGACGCTGCTCATGAGGAAGAACCCCTCCGTGGTTCGAAACTAGTAGAACTTTACTCAGTATATTCACGTGAGTAACCCGCGATTTTTAGTTAATTTAGTATGTTTTTTTTTAAACGTTGCCCCACATTAGGATTTGTCTCCTGTGTCGTGGGTGCGTTTACAAACATACAAGTTCACATACACAATGACACCCAGACCCAAAACAACAATTTGTGGATCACACAAAGTGTTGTTCCGTGCGGGAATCGAACCCGCGACACGTTGCACGGCAGCCGGTTGCCCAGCCACCGCCAACCGTGCAGTATGTCTCACGATAGTTATTATAAAAAAGCTACGTTTCTTGGTAAAAGACTCAAACAATTTATTTAACAAGTTAAAAGACTTGTCTGTTCGAGAAAATTAACGTCAATTTTATGCATCTAATTTTTAAGGATCATTTCAAAGGCGAAATAGGTTCTAATGATGATTCAGAATTGCATTAATTTTCAGTCGAAAGAAACAAGTCAATGATGAAATATTCCTTTTCATACTTAAAAAAAATCAACTGACTATTCTCAGAAGATATAGCGAAACACAATCAGTATCTAATTTATTTTAAATATATATATATAACAACATAAATATTTACAACTTAAAATGAACTACAACTAAACTATTAAATAAAACGAAAGTACTTATATCTTATCAGTATCTTCACATTTAATTTCTCTTTCCAGGTATCCATGCAGTTTCACAAATAGAACGATTTATAAAAATCCAAGATGGTGGTTGTAAGCAAGCAGCTGTTTGACGCAGTGTGCCGTGATGCCCATTGCAGTCTCATGACCCACCCCTGGAACGAAAGCTGTATCAAAGCATGTCCAGGGTTGTACAAAGATGCTGTTATTGGCAGTGCGAAGTTTTACTCTATTATTTACCTTGTAAGTATCAAAATTTACATCTGAAGCTGCAAAAATATTATAATGTTCCTTTTTATTGGATAGATAATTAGACTTTGTTTTGTAGAATATCAGAGTAGGTACTCAATTTTTTGTAAGTTTAAGTAATAGTAAAAATCTCACTATTTAAGTTGTAAATATAATATATTTATAGTCATAATATTATTATGACTGCCGGGCAAGGGGACTCGGGTTCGATTCCCGGGTCAAATAAAGTATTACTGGGTTTTTAAAAAAATTCTCAGTTGTTGCACGGAGTCTGGAATTGTGTCCGGTATATGGCAATAGGCTAACCCCCTATTACATGGGACTTGTAACATAAATAGTGAAAAGTGGGTGTTATATTGTACAGTGGCATTAGGTGCCGTTATGTGCACCTCTACCTATGTATCTCTTCGGGGATAAATGGCGTGATGTTATGCTATGTTATGTTATGTTATGTTATATTTGTTATGTAAAAGCACGATGGATCATCGTCACAAAATGTGAACAAAAATTCCTTACAATAAATAAGATTTAAAAAATGTGTCAAAATTGGAATACTTCGATGTCGTCTCGATACGATCGTGTAAATTTTAGAATAGACATGAATATAAACTTAAAAGTCTTAACTTTACTCTATTACTATATTGTTGATATCAATATTTTTATTAATTAGTTCTTTGTATACAAATGACCATCAACAAGCCATGACAGTAATCTGTTAGACTATAGGACGCCTTTACATCAGGACTCACCATTATCTCTAATTTAGGCAGGCGGGTCAGTTATTAAATATTGGATGTAAATAGGCTATTCAACTAATATATTTTCCAGGCACAAATCTTGATGCGAGGAAAGAAAATGATGAAGAAAGAACAATGGATCAAGATGGGAGAATATTACGTGAGGTCCACCATGTTAGGATTTATGGTCACATCTGTGGGTCCCAACATTAGTTGTTTAATTAGGTAAGGTATGTGGACGTTTTCTATAGAGTATTTTCTAAAACTCAATGCTATATGACGTGAATTTTTAACCGACGTCAAAAAAGGAGATTCAGATTGACCTGTATGTAAGTTTGTGGAGATTATCTTGCGAATGGATGAACAGATTTAAATGCGGTTTTCAGAAAAGTGTTTGTTACATTTAGGAGGGGTGTTAATCTTTATTTAAATAATTCTTCTGTAAGTGTGTATGTCACTGAACTTCTCTCAAACGACTGGATCGATTTTGATGAAATTTTTTGTGTGTGTTCAAGGAGATCTGGGAATGGTTTAGATTCACAAATCATCCCGGCAGATGGCGCTGCAGTCGATGTTTAGGTTATTTATCCTAAACAGCTGAACTAATTTGATTGATTTTTTGTTTATACATTCAAGTGGATATGCAGGACAACGTCTGTCGGGTCCGCTAGTATTTTAATAACTTAAAAAAAGAGAGGACGGATAACCCTCGGTATCGTGAGGGTTAAGCTCGGGGTTGATTTGATTTGAATAAAAGTACTTGGTAGTGGTTACCGAACACTTGTATTCTGAATAGGGTAGACGACTAATTTTTATTTTAATGTCCGTCTGGTAGATTATTTAAAAACATTAGACACGTATTTTTTATTTTCTTACGGAAACGAATAGTTTCGAAGATATATTGATTTGAAATGTCGCGTGACGTCACTTCTCAGTACATTTTATACTGAGAAATGACGTTTTAGCCCCCACTCCTAAACTTTGATTCGTTTTATCTAAGTATTGTTTTATTATACGACAAAATAAAAAAATACGTGTCCTATATTTTTTAATTACCTAACTTACGGACTAATTAGATTTTTAATTTTCATACCCTGTCATCATCCCCATTGTTATAGAGGTACAATGAATATTATGATACAATAGCACGTGACAAAATTGATACTAACATCAAATAAATTTTTGAGACACTTATACTATTGGTGGAGAATCTTAACACCGCGATTCAGAAAACGAGCTCAAATAAAAAACGCCATCTATGGACGAATGTTGGAACACTTGTTCTCTGAATCACGGGTTTCTTACATGTCAATCGCTTGACTGTTAGACAGATGGTTTGGAAGTCTTTTAAACGTAGTTTATCAATGATTATTTTTGTGCTTTTATTACTGTAAATATGAACTGTTTATAAGACAATGCGTGCCCAGGAAAAGAACAAGTCATTATTCTTAAATACATGAAAACACATTCAATATCAACACGGTTTTTTTACCATTCTAGTGAGGGATTTGTCTTCAGTTGTTTTATGTCTATATGTATGTATTATACTGTGAAGTAAAGTAAGTGTTGGAAAGAATATGTACAACTGAAGCCTTTAACTTCGATCATAGCAAGTAACACCAATATTCAATTGTTCCAGAAAAATGTTAGGGGATCAATTCTATTCTTCAACGTACCTGTTCATACCTTTTGCTGTGTGTGGACTCTTCATTTACTTGGAGCCACCAAGCAGAAGAGGACTGGTCATTAATCTGTTTTGTAACTTGGTAAGTGGATTAATCTTTAGAAGTTAACTTAACTTTAGAAGTCAAAGTCAGTCCTTAGATAATATGGACTGCACGGTTGGTGCGATGGCTAGGCAACTGGCTACCGCGCAACGTGTCGCGGGTTGGATTCCCGCACGGAACAACTTTTTTTGTTATCCACAGATTGTTGTTCCGGGTCTGGGTGTCATGTGTACATGATATTGTAGAGGTATGTTTGTAAACGCACCCACGACACAGAAAATCCTAGTGTGGGGCAACGTTTAACAAAAAAGGAACTAAAAATAACTTTAATGTATTGACTTATATGATACGGTATAATGAAACCCTTATCCTATAATTAACTAATTAGAAAACAACCAATTTACAAACCGCTATTAGTGTTTTTATAATAACTCTTGAGACATGCTGAATTAATTAAAATTTACGAGTTATTCACATAAATATACTGAGAAAAGTTCTACTAGTTTCGAGTCACGGAGGGAGTCTTCCTCATTAACAGCGTGTGCGGCTGCGGTGATGTCGCGCACCCTACTCTATTAGCGTTTTTGGTGATTAAGTTAGTCCTTATATTTTTTCGCAGACTATTATTTCTTCGACAAAATTTTGTAAATTTCAAAACCAGAACTCTATCAAAATAAAAACATCAGTATTATATCGACAACATATTTATATTAAAAATAGACGTGAGAATCTTTCATGGAGAAAAATATATGATATTTCCTCGAACGTTATGCTCTTTTTCACGGTCCAGGAGACATCAAGTCATGTATGTAGAATCGTCAGAAATGTTCAAAGATGTCCACCTGACACGTGTACTAAGCTTTGTTGGAAGACGTTTTAACTATATATCTATATGTATATATGTGTAACGTTGTTAGACTGTAGTTTTTGTTGTAGGCTTAATTCTCGTATTGGGTAGGTTTGATTTGCTTACACTACGTACGCTCAGAACTATATTTTGAGGCTTTAAAATATTATTACTTTTTACTTAGAGAAGCCATATCATTAGGCCATGAGTATGACCGGTTTCACATATACTCCGACTACGTCAAGTAAATATTTTTTTTTTATTCTCAGTAGGTTAGTGTTTATATTATCTGTGGCAAGCTGGCCACTTTAAAGAGTGAAAACTTTTTTATGTTCTTTTTTTTTGTTTTTTAAATATATGCAGTGTGCTTCTGACTAGTTTGTTTAATTTTCTCGTTAAACTATTTATACACAATATATTAAAAATACATATATAATTACAGTTAGGTAGGTAGGCGCGAAGTTTCGCTAGACTTTTTCTTTATCATTTACTCGGACAGAACTAATATCATCTGTCTCTTAGGTTTTCTTTAACTAATGTTGCTATATAACTAAATTAACAATTCATCAAATTCCAGCTAATCGAGTACTATATAAAAGTTTTGGAAAGAGCTGGATATCCGACTGTGACGAGAACACATCAGACGCTGATGTTCATGTTGGGCAGTTCCTTACTGTTCTACCTCATGAGGCTAGAAGGAGACAAGAAGGAGAGGACTCCCTTGTTTTGGTAAGATAGTCAGATTTTCAGCTTTATTGGGATCTGTATGGTTTATCATAATTCAGTGTCGCCCAGTAAGTACGCAGTCGTAGTGGCTCGGAGGCTTAAGACGCCTGCTTCCCATGCATAAGGGTGCGGGTTCGAAACCTACCAACGGCAAGTACCAATGTGACTTTTTCCTAGTTATATGTACTTTCTAAGCTTATTTAGACAACACTGACAAACGGTGAAGGAAAAACATCGTGAGGAAACCTCAGCTTATAATTTCTAATTATAAGTTTGAAATCGCCAACCCGCATTGAGCAAGCGTGGTGATTAATGCTCTAACCTTCTCCGTGTGAGAAGAGGCTTTGCTTAGCAGTGGGCATTTATAGGCTGTTGATGATGAGTGTCGCCCAGACAGTCCACTACTGCGTACTTATGTAAACGCTTAAATCACAGTTCAAAACTGATCAATCCCCAAGCGGTCGCCGGTGACCTCACTGACTCCATTATAGACCTTATTATCGATGTTTACAGACTACTTTTGTATAAACAAATTTTGGGGATTTTCGGTACAAGACATTAAAAAAGATTCAGGTTTATCAGAAAGCCCTACTGTGTAATTCCTGACAAATGTGTGGATTTCTATTTGGCTCTTACGATAATCGTAGGGATAGTATTTTTTTTATGGCATAAGCCGGTAAACGAGCAGACGGATCACCTAATGGTAAGCAATCGGCGTCGCCCATGGACACTTGGAACACCAGAGGCGTTACAAGTGCGTTACCGGCCTTTTGGGGATTATAAGTTTGAGGATCGTTGGGGATTCAGGGATTAGGGAGATTGGGTCAAGGGTAATTGGACCTCCGGTAACCTCACTCACTCTCTTCGGTCGAGCCGGCCCATTCATGCCGAAGCATGGCTCTCCCACACTAAACACATACATTCTACTAGTATAGTATGATTTTACCATAGTTACATTTTATTGTCACAATTAATGGTAGACAACTTAGAAAATACACGTGTATGTCATAAAAAATGTTTATTAAGTAAGTAATTGTTTTTAATGGTACAAGGTGGGTCACGGTTTATTTATAGGTACCAAACACAGAACATATGCCTTCTTTATATATTCTGTGGTACCAAAGTTAGTCTTATTTTATTCATTGAAGGAAAGTGACGTGACGTTTAGAAAGGCCTAATTATCTCCCCCTCCCCAATCCCCCCCCACACGCCCCCCCTATCCTGAGTCCGTACAACAATTCATAAATTCCAAATCCCGAAAGGCCGGTAACGCACTTGTAACACCTCTGGTGTTTTGGGTGTCCATAAGCGGCGCCGATAGCTTACCATCAGGTGACCCGTCTGCTCGTTTACCGGCTAATTCCATAACAAAAAATCTATTATTCGCACAAAATATTTAAAAGATAAAACACAAAACAGAAGCAAAACAATTCCTAATAGACTGATTTAAATGTAAAAAATGTACATGTAACAATACACACATAACTTTACCGCTGGCTATAATTTTATATAATAGCCTGATGGTAGATATAAAACAATGAATGCATTGACAACAATGTCATACTTGTATGAATAAACATTGCTATCACAGTTCGTTGCCACTATATCTAATCAGTGTCAGCGTCCGGCCTTTCCTGTGTCAAAGTCCGTACTACAGGTGTTGAGGTGAACTCCTTTGTGGGCTTTGTATTGCACGTAGTTAATAATTATATCGACTCTCCAAGTCTGTATTAATTTATTTAAACTAACGACCTGTTTTACAACCTCCATATAAGTACCCGATAATCTTATGTTTCAGATAGTTCATACAAATTATTTTCTAAATTCAAATTTATCTGGTACACAGCGGATATTCAGACATTTTGCAACAGGCCCTTAGTACAAAAACGCATGTACAGGTGGACTTAATGCCCTTGGCATTGTCCCACAGACAGTCTATATTTAGGTTATAATTAATCATGTTAATTTATCATTAACTAGCTTCTACCTTCTGCCTGCAGTTTGAAACAATAACCAATTAGCCCCGAAACCATCATAACAAAGTAAGAAGTCAAAGAATCAAGCTTCAAATACAAACAAAATGCAATGACCTGACAGTTAAAAAAACCTTTAAAAAAATATTCGCAATATTTTTAACTCAACAGAAAACCTTTTAAAAACTATGATCCCATAAATAGAAATCTGCTGAAAGTATTTTTAAACAGAGAATCCTATTGTTTTTATAAATTCCAATATTTCACTCACTAGACTTTCATAGTTTACGTGCAATGTTCATATATTTTTTGAGATTTATACGTTTTGTTTCCTGTGAAGTGGCAGCACTATAGCTTTTCATCTGTTTTGTTTTGAATAAATAGATACGGTATTATGTATTGTGAATAATAAATATTTACTATTATTGATTCATAAAATCTAGACAATAATTATTATAATTTATGATTATTTTGTGCATCTATAACGGAAACTTATGGGAATAGTAGAAGATATGAAGGTACCTCACATACATATAGTCACATTTTAATCTCCAAAGGGGTTAAAGGCGCATACAATTTGACACCCATTGCATTTGTCAGAAGTGCTACTGCCAAGCAAGAGGTCTCAGATATTCGATCAACGGGGAAGTTCTAGAAAAAATATTAAAGAAACATAATATATATTGACTACCATTTTGAAGCCTAGAAAGTAATTTTTGTACTTAAACATAAGTTGTAGTAAAATGTATTTTTTTTACTACCTCTATTTACTACAATTAAGTATAAGTAACTATTAATAAACGACGTCTTATTCAATTCGGTTTTGTATGTTTCAGGCTATTTACTCCAGAAAAAGTAAAAAGAAAAACAACCGAATCGGAGAGTCCTTGTCCGCATAAAGGGAAATGTGAAAAATATGTTGCAAAAGTAAGTTATAAAGTAGTTGTAGATATGATTGTTTATTTTATTTGAATTAATTGTTTTTTTGTGGTAACAGACCAAAGATTAGGCTGAACCTGACTGACTCGGACAGTATTTTCTTTCTCCTAGACTTTTCTCATTTTCCTTCTCATTAGATGTGACTGAATATCAATATTTAAGGTAGTACATAGAGCGTCTGCCATCTGCCTTCTATAATCCACATCATCTTGGATAGATCCATTGTCAAATTTGTGAAGTTTCTAAGTAGCTACAATACAGAAATCAGAAGTATAAGTACCTAACTAAAAATACTTTTTTCTTTTGCAGGGTTTTGCTACATATTTTGGAGTAGGTCTCGGTATATCTTTAGCGAGACTGATCATACCAAAAATTTCAACTCCAATTAAGGCGATATCTTCGATTAGAAGTAAACACTTCAAGTTGGCAATGTTCTTCGGCAGTTATATCGGTATTTACAGAGTACGGCTAATTTAGTTTGTATAATAATATTGCTATATTAATTAATTAATCTAATAAGATATGCACATGGAATGGATACGTATAATTTATTTCATATTATCCCATAATTATATTATATTCTGGGTTGACCAAAGTTGATGAATCCCCAAGCGGTCACCGGTGACCGCTCTCTTTTAACTACATTATAGACCTTATTTCTGATGCTTAGAGACTACTTTTGTATAAACGAATTTAGGGTATGCTATTTCAACAAGATTCCCTCCACTTAACTAGACTATGAACCTCGTCTACATAAGAAACCCAATACTTATATGACCAATAGATTTAATTATGATGCTAGAAAATTAGATTATTTAGAAAAAAAGAAAAAAGTGATCCAATCCTTATTTGCACCACAGATTTATCTTCTAACCTAAAAACTTAACTATGCAATAATGAAATGTTATCGTTCACGTCTACGTCTGTCTACCCCTAAAGGGAAAAATACGCGTGTTGTTATATAACGCTGGTTATCGACGTCACAGTGGCCAGTGGAGTGGAACAGTGTGGACGCCGGTTAGAGTCAACTGCATACGTTGTGCTACCGTTCCAACCTTCGCCCCACTAACCACTTTGATCAAAAATTCAGACTGATTAATAACCTCCATATATTGAAGCACAGAAAGGATTTAAATGTCCAGCGTTTTGAGTTCTGCTGATGTGAAGATGTTGTTCACTGTCATGGAGCTGATACATTGATCTCTTGTGTATTCATACTATGTTATTAGGGACCGGGCAAGGTCTCTCGGGTTCGATTCCCGGATCAGGCAAAGTATTACTGGGTTTTAAAAAAATCTTATTAGTAGCACGGAGTCTGGAATTGTGCCCGGTATATGGCAATAGGCGTGAGCCTATAGCCTATTGCCTATTGCCACGTGGCAATAGGCTATAGTCACCCCCTACTACGTAGTAGGGATGACCCCTACTACGTGGGACTCATAACATAAATAGTGGAAAGTGGGTGTTACTTCTGTGTGCACCTCTGCCTATCCCTTTGGGGATAATGGGCTTGATGCTATGTTTATGTATTAGGGACTGATATGCGCCGTGTGCTATAAAAGTCCCTAAAATATAATAAAATACAAAAATAAAATGTCCAATGTTACGTGTAGGTAATCGTGGTCAACTTGCATGGCATAGTGTTTCATTGGAATCAAGGAGTACTAACCCTTGCTTTCAGAACAAAATCTGCTTTTATTTACCCTAAACTAAAATATAACATGTCATAACATCATGCGTTTTAGTCCCCTAAAAGAAAGCAGAGGTGCTCGTTCTCAATGTAGTACGAAATTGGATGCTACATTAAAAATAGTATTTTACACTCCAGTTTTGTTACGATGAATCCATTGTAATACGAGATGAACCTAATATTAACTTTATTAAACATGTCAATAATTATAAATTTGCTTTACATTGCAGGCAGTGGTATGCTACTTATGTCGTAAGCAAGGATTCGACTCGGCATTGTATGCGTTACCTGCTGGTTATGCCGCGGGAATATCATTCTTATTCAACCCTAGCTTAGGGCTGTCTATAGCGTCGTTGACCGCAGCGTTTAAGGTATGTTGTATGAGTATTTTGATGATCTTGGATTTACTTAAGCATCAACATTTGATACAATTACCAAAAAACCTAAACATGTTCGTAATTACAAGAAAAGAATATAACCTGTTTTGAGTTCCAACCTTGAGTTAGATAGTGTTGCCATGGCTAATTTCGAAATAGAATATTTCAATTTTAAACACAAAAGTATCTCTTTATTCTTTTGAACAATACCATATACTTCTTATGTCCAAATACTCAAACGCCACTCAATTTTAATTTGCACTTAAGTATAGTTTTAAGAGCCATGTTTCGGTACAAATGGGCCGGCTTGACCAGAGTGGTACCACGGCCTCACAGAAGACCGACGTGAAACAACTCAAGCGTTGTGTTTCGTCGTGTGAGTGAGGTTACCGGAGGCCAGCAATCCTCAAATTCCAAATCCGAAACGGCCGGTAACGCACTTCTAACGCTTTTGGTGGTCGTGTCCATGGGTGATGCCGATTGCTTACCATCAGGTGATCCGTCTGCTCGTTTACCGGCTTATCCTATAAAAAAGATAGTTCTGTCTCTACAAGTTCATTGTAAAATGACAGAGATGGCACGATATTTAAGTAAAACTTAAAATTGAGTAGCCTTTCAGTATTCGGGCGATAGTCTCTCTTTTTTTCCTTTTTTTTATATAAGTATTGATTAAATTTCCTTTCCAGTTGTATTCAACAATTTTATACGAGAAGAAAATCTTGCCATCAAACATACCTCTACCGGAGTTGTTATACTGCTTTTGCCAAGGAACACTATTCAATGCTCGCATCGTCGATCCTGATGCATGCCCCAGCTACGTGTTCAATCTTATGAAGTCTTGCAGTAATGGAAGGTTCGTATTTACCTTCTTACAATGGTTTAAGGTTGATTATCGTGTGATTTTCATTGGGTATTTCAATTGTATTTTTTGTACGTTCAAGAAATAATAAATAAATTCGATGAGCAATTATAAAATCATCTTTCACTTAGAAAGATGATAAAAAACCGTAACGTGTATTACCTGAGATATTTTTTAACATTCCAGCTGCTGTAGCCAAATGCCATTTAGCGCTTGTCTACATGTAGAGTAGAAAACCAAATTATATGGAATTGACGTAAATTTTGACACTTATCAGTGTCATCCCCATACATTTTGATTTCTACTCTCTCTGTGAAAAGCGCTAAAGTGGCGTTTGGCTAAAAGCACTGATAGGTTTAGTCTGAATATAAAATAGCGACTGTGAATTAATTCCTCAAAAAAATTTAGGTACACAACAAAATAAAATTGAAAAAACCAATAACTCACAACACGAAGAGAGACTCTTTATACCGAAACTTAGAGGAATATCTCAAAAAGTATTAATTTCTGAGTAGCCATTTTTATTTCTTTAGAATAAGGTACTTTACATAGCCACCCATCATACTATGATTTATGAAGACAGCTTATAGAAAGAGCTCGGCAGTGACCGATCACATTTTAATTCACTGATTATTGCTTGTTTTTATTCTTTTGTTTTCTTTTTAAATCGATAAAGAGTCTTAGGTCGTTAGCATAAAAACTTTCGATAATTTATTTTATGGGTTTTAACTTTTTTCTGTAGGTACATACTAGCTTTTTTGTATTGTTTTTTTTTTCTATTTTCTCGTAATACATGAGTTCTAAGTACTGAGTTAAAACATTCTGTAACAATTTAGGTACTTACTTATTTTATATTTATTATACTCATTCATTTTTTTTTTAAAAAAAAAACGTTGCCCCGCACTATGATTATCTCCTGTGTCGTGGGTGCGTTTACAAACATACAAGTTCACATACACATGACACCCAGACCCGGAACAACAATTTGTGATTCATTAAACTGTCAAACACCGCGAGGACACCAGTGACCGCAACATTGTTCTTTAGTTGTGTCTAAAATTACGGTACTCAAAGATTTAATTACTCTGTTCTTTTCCTGGGTATATAAATAGACGTACTAAATATTATGCAAACCTTTATTTAACTTATTTTATTGTTTGTTTCAGATCCGAACACGTATTTAAAAGTTTTTCCGAAGTAATTCGACATGCGATATAATATTTAGTATAATTAAGCAATTTTAGACCAAATATTTTTACAATATTACATGTTTCTATAAGATTTAAAAACAACCATGTTTTTATATGAATAGTTTCATCACAATGGCGTCCGATCCGAACATAATTAAGAGATGGTTATTTCGATGATTACACCAAAGAAATAAAAATATATATTGTGGTGGGTGGAGGTGTGGTAGGCCATATTATATGACTGTATTATACAGGACGGTGATGAAGATCAGCGCTGTGGACTAGAGCCTTCATGACCAGGCCATAGTTTTAACCTAAGCTCCGGCCTTTTGCGCTGTGATGCACCATGACCTTATTTTTATGTCTTCTTGCATTGTTATCTACATGTATGTCCTGGGCCTCTAGCCAAACTCCACTTTAGCGCTTGTCTACAGAGAGAGTAGAAATCAAAATGTATGGGGATGACACTGGCAAGTGTCAAAATTTACGTCAATTCCATATAATTTGGTTTTCTACTCTACATGTAGACAAGCGCTAAGTGGCATTTGGCTACAGCTGCAGGTGTAATAAACGGTTTCTCGTTCTTTCTTTTATGTACAGGATAGTAATAAAAGCTCCGACAGCAAAAGTAGGATTGTCCTTACTGAAAATATTAAATCTACTGCCTAAAATCTTAACTTTCCGACTACTTTACATGACTGTTTATTGCTACAATACTAACCTAACCTAACCTAAAACGTCTGTTGTCGGTAACTGAGTAATTTTGTCGAAAGTTCAATATTCTATTCGGAAGTTTAGTTTTGTTATTCGAAGATCCATTTTTATAGTCGGCCACAGAACGCTGGAGATTAATTTATTTTTCGGAACCATTATTATTTTCCTTATGTATATATGTGATACAAAAAATTTTATGACATCAATATTGAATTATCTATTAGTCTGTTCTTAGTGTTTTATGAAAGTGTCATAAGAAACCGCATGCGCAGTGCCTACTGCTACAGTAAAATTGTATTTTTATTTCGTTATAATAATAATGATTTTAGTATTTCGAAAACAAACGAATCATTGTACGCAAAAACTGTTACCTATTTTACAAGAAAATGGTTATTAGTGTTTGATGTATGGAATTAGGATAACGGATTTTTGTTGGTTTTCTTTTAGGAAAAATAATGTTTATTTATAGAATAGATAGACTTGATCTAGTTTTGACCTAACAAACGTTGTATAAAATCAAAAACTGAACAAAATTTGGAAAAAGTAAGAATTCAAGACGTTACCAATGTTGTGCAAAAGCCGTGTCAACTTACCCAAAACTTTAACAATTCTTTATTGAATTTTTAATCCTAAAACTTGCCTATAACGTCCAAAATCTATTAATTAATGGGGGGAGCTTGACGAGCTGTCATTTGTACTTTACGTAATTATTTATTACAATACATAGAATATTTTAAATAGACAATTTACCTTTTTGTTATACGGGTGATGAGTATCAAATTTTATAAAAAAATAAAAACATTTTAATTTAAACACACTTGATGGTTTTCATTTCAATCCAACACCCCTAACTTGAACCTAACATATATAACATCACGCCTTTTATCCCTGAAGGGGTAGGCAGAGAATTACGGCACTTACCTAAAGCTACTGCTCAATATAACTCCCACTTAACTTATCTAACAATCAGCTGTAGTCAAATGCCATGTAGCGCTTGTCTACTTGTAGAGTAGAAAACTAAGTTATATGGAATTGACGTAAATTTTGACACGTCTTGTCAGTGTCATCCCCATACATTTAGTTTTCTACTCTCTCTGTAGACAAGCGCCAAAGTGGAGTTTGGCTAAAGGCACTGGAGTGTAACATACTATTATCAATGTAGCATCCAATATAGAACTACATTGAGAATGTGCACTTCTGGTTTCTTTTAGGGGACTAAAACGCGTGCTGTTTAGTTTAGGGTAAATAATATCAGATTTCGTTCTGAAAGCAAGAGTTAATACTCCTTGATTCCAATGAAATACTATGCCATGCATTACATAGTACGTAGAACATTAAATGAGACATTATTTTAATTACAGAAAAAACATTTAATTAAACTACATTTTACTCTGAATAAAGATTAGTTTTTACATTAAAGTTAAATATATGTCACAATATAAGGAAAAAAATATTTTTGAAATAGAAACTCACTACTTATAAATATATTCCTACATTCAGCCAACTTAATTGGTATACAGGGCCAAAATAAGATTTATTTATATAGATTTAACTGTGTCACATAAATTAAACCATTATACCTATTACACCTACTGTTGCACATCTCTGCATCACCCCATGGTTGACTGTTAGAGAATGCCACCCGGCATTAAGTCCGCCATCGTATGTTTATTATACAGAAGTGTTAATAAATAAATAAAAAATAAAATAAGAACAGCCGAGGATAGAAGGATACAGAAGTTTTATCCAGCAATGGAACTCTATAAGCTATAGACTATGATAATTTGTTTATGTATGGAATGCTAAAGCATACGGGGGCAAACTAACAGACGGATCACCTGATGGTAACCACTGCAATGTTCAAGGACTTTGAGGGTTACGTGGAAATGTGTGGATTGAGGATCGGGAGGATTAGGACATTTAGGGGAGCATTGAGCATCTGGAAACCTAAGACTCATTCGTGGATGATAATTCATATCAACAGCTTATAAGCGTTTATTGCTAAGCCTCTTCAAGCACTGCGAGGACCGCCCTGAGGACATAGTGGAACACACCGCCGTGCCCTCAGGGAAGTGATCGGCGATGGCGACCTCTCGCGTCCGAGCCTAGTGCAGGCCATGATGCGGAGCGAGGGGGACTGGGATGCCGTCTCCTCCTTTTGCGGGAAAATCATCGAATGACTGCTTCCGCCTGGGTGAGGCGGAAGGGAGCGTCAGACTCTTACTGACTAAAAACCACCCCGTTCCTTCTCCTGCACGTCGAGCCGGAGCCCCGGTTACCCGTTAGGTTCTCCGCGACCACATTGGTACTTGCCGTTGATTTTAACCGCTTGAATGCATTGATATGAGACACAATAGAAAATACATTGTGCCTTTCGTGGATCCACGTTTACACACGACAGGTTAAACGGTCCTAGACCGTGCCACGTACGATGTAACAAATAATAATTAAAAGTACCAAATAAGTTGGCTAGTGTAGTTTTTTTAATGCTGGTGCTATACAGTATTTTTTGATTCTACCGTAGTTGCATTGACATCAGTTTGTTGGGCGCTTCGTGGTGGATTCGTAATCACTGGATTTATGATGATAACCTTCTTACCACCACCAGTTGTTGATGTTTTCTGAATCGCTGCCATATTCCCGTAGCGACATATTTGGTCACACTGTTAGTTAAATAGAAAATAAAATGAATTTTAAATCTTAGATTTGTATTTAAATTCTGATTAGTTTGTTTAAAATAATAAACAAAATATTTATATTTAGCTGATGTGATACACAGGTAGTAGGTGTAGGGCCCGCTTTATGGCAACGAATACCCACCTATCTTTTTTACATTTTTCGTTAGACAATGAGATAACCAGATACCATTTAAGCCTACAATTTTTAGCCACTGTCTCCTTGTGGGAGATTTTACTCAATAATTAACATTCTTAGGCTTATAAATATAAGAATTATTTTTGTGTATCACATACCTGTTCCCTACTGTAGAAGTTATTCTTATTTCCACCACAACCAGAATAGAGGCCAGACTTACAGACTTTCCATCTAGAATCGTAATAGAACCTCTCTGATGCTCCAAAACAGAAACCATAATCAAAAGCCAGGCTGCAATATCTTGGACGACGTTCTAAGTAGGACAAGTGTTGTAGTAATTAGTACTTTAAATTGACTAAATATAAAGTCTAATTTTAAATAAAATATACTCTAAAATTATACATATTGTATACAATTGTAAAAACGGCCTTGTTGGTTGAGTGACCGCAACCTATACCCAGGGCTAGAGCGGATTCTGTGTCGGAATTTTTATTCAGTAATAGCTCGAAGTTTGCTATTATACTTATAATGTTTTGCATAAGACCCCCCTATTACATGGGACTCGTAACTTAAGTAGAAAAACTGGGTGCAAAATTGAGACAAAATATTATGCAAAAAATCTGCTCGTTGCCTCTGTCTCGTTGGCCGAGTGATCGCAAGTGCGACGGCCGGGTAAAGGGGTCTCGAGTTCGATTCCCGGGTCGAGCAAAGTATTACTGGGTTTTTTTCAAATATTTCCCAGTAGTAGCACGAAGTCTGGAATTGCGCCCGGTACATGGCAATAGGCTCACCACCTATTACATGGGACTCATAACATAAATAGTGAAAAGTAGGTGTTACATTGTACAGTGGTATTAATTACTGTAATTTGCACCTCTGCCTACCTCTCCGGGGATAAAAGGCGTGACGTTATATAATGTATTATGCAAAAAATTACTTACTTCCAGGCTTACTCATGCAAAAATTCCAACATTCTTCCTTCGTTTCGAACCTGTTACCATTTCCTTGACAGCCTCCCCATTCGAACTCTGAACACTCTTTCGCATCAGGATTGAAATACCACATCTTTATTCTGCTACGACATGGACCATTGTCAGGTATCAGCATGCAAGTCTTAGAAGCAACTGGAAAACAAATCAATTTATTTTCCTCGAATCGATAAAACCTCAAACTCAGGCGTAAGGTTGCAAGCCTTTCGGTTTTCTACCGCATACATTGCGGTGAGTGTGCGGAAGAATTGCACAACTTGATTCCCCTAGTCCTTTCCATCATCGTACCACAAGACAATCGACGAAGCATCACCGATTCATGGTAGATGTTCCACCCACACGCACAAAGCGCTTCGCTTCAAGCTTCCTTGTGCGTACTGCTAAAGAGTGGAATTCTTTGCCGGAGTCTGTATTTCCTGAAGGGTATAACCTCGGAGTCTTCAAGGCCCAAGTGAATAGGTTGCTTATGGGACGACGTGCTCCATCGTAGACCGCATCATCGCTTACCACCAGGCGAGATAGTGGTCAAACGTTGCCCCATCAAATATATAAAAAAAAATATTTAGACAGGTACACTTAAAGCTCGTGACAAACTTTGATATGCAAACTAAACATCATCATCATCATTATCAACAGCCTACAAATGCCCACTGCTGAGCCAAGCCTCTTCTCACACAGAGAAGGTTAGAGCATTAATCACCACGCTTGCTCAATGCGGGTTGGCGATTTCAAACTTATAATTAGAAATTATAAGTCCAGGTTTCCTCACGATGTTTTGCCTTCACCGTTTGTCAGTGGTGTCTAAATAATCTTAGAAAGTACATATAAACAAACTAAACATACTGTATACAAAATTTCAGCTCAATCGGTTGAAAATATCTGCTTCATTGGTAGATTCCACTTCACATACGGATATGAAGCGGAATCTGTTTCTTTCTCTCACTCGTGGTTGAGATTATTCTTATATAAAGTCAAAGTTAAAGTCAAAGCATTTATTTCAATTAAACCATAATTTTGGTACTTTTGAAATGTCAACAAATACAAAATAAATAATAGTCTGTCAGTCAGTCCGTCAGTGAAGTTAGGTGAAGCTAGGTGCTCATTCCAAAATATAAATTCGAATGGAGAAGAACGAGTAAGAAACACCATTCGGTACTCTTTTTAAAAAAGTATGTTCTACAATGTCTCTGATACATATTCCAATTCTGTAGGCATATGTGAAAACAATGCAAAGACACGCTTGATGCATTATACTAATTACAAAACTTTTGGTATTTTATTATAGTATTTAATACATAACCCCATAAAGGATTTCAGTGTCTTGGACAGTCTGAATTGCGGTAGATATAGCTAATTTATTTTTGCCTCTATTTTTATTACAGCCAATGATATGGCGATCACTTTGATCTTTGGAATTGAACACACTTCGATCTTTTTATTTTATTTATTTAAGACTTAGTACAATAACAAATGTACAGGCGGACTTAATGCCTTGGGCATTGTCTCACAGTCGACCTTAAGGTGGTGCAGAGATGAAAGTGGCAGGTGACTAAGCAAATGTTATATATAGTTTATAGATACTTTTATATATAGTCATACATATACATGTACACATACATCCAATACTTATATCATATAATAGTACTATATACATACATACACACATACATACGTACCCAGGTAAAAACTAAATAACATGATAAGAGACAACTTATGTTTGAATCGAATCTGCCAGTTTTTTTTGTAAATGCTCGCGAACCTTGGTTTTGAAAGATAAGCGACTGGTGGCCATCCTATTATTATCCTATTCTTATACCATCCTATTATTATTACGATCTTTTCATTGAAAACAATATAGCCTAGAAGTAGTGTCCTCATCTCACTATTCATTTAATAATTCATGTATGTACACACAAACAACACGGAGGATAACACATATAAATTAAAGTACAAAGGTGCTACTTATTCTTGTTGGAATTTCTTCCAGTAGACCTGAGACAGGAAATGTAATAACCTATTTAGTTTGTAAAACTGATTGTTGTATCAGTTGTGAACTTAACTTCAAGGTCATTGGCCAAAATACGTTATTCAATAATATTTAGAAACCTGAAGCAAAATAGGAAAGTTCTAAGTGTGGGAGAGCCATGCTTCGGCACGAATGGGCCGGCTCGACCGGAGTGATACCACGGCCTCACAGAAAATCGACGTGAAGCAACGCTTGCGTTGTATTTCGTCGTGTGAGTGAGGTTACCGGAGGCCCAATTACCCTCTCTTTCCCCAATCTCCCCAATTCTTGAATCTCCAATGATCCTCAAACTCCTAATCCCCAAAAGGCCGGTAACGCACTTGTAACGCTTCTGGTGTTCCAGGTGTCCATGGGCGGCGACGCCGATTGCTTACTATCAGGTGATCCGTCGGCTTGTTTACCGGCTTATGCCATAAAAAAAGGAAAGATTCCTACGCAAAAAAATCGAAAACATTTTTACCAGTTGCTTGGAATCTTGTATACGATTTCTGTTCAGTTGCTATTAAATTTTTGAATATCCTAACTGTTTCTACCCTTTGTACATTATAAACATGCAAACACAAAGTCCACAGTAAAACTGATATCATTTTTTCAACGCAGAACACATTCACAACGGCCGACTACACAGCAATTGCAATAAATATACAACGAATTAAATATTTATTGTTTATTTTTATTATTGAAAATATTTTTTACTTTTGAATTTATTTTTATTATGTTCTTTTTATGAGCTGGCTGATTTCTCTGCATGTTTTTTTTATTTATATCAATTGAATTTTTTATTCGCTCAATCTGGTTACATAAAATGATTGGTATGGATTACATGGAGTTGTATAAAATTAGTTGATATACATCCATTTTTAGATATACATAGTTTAGGTTGGTAAATATTTATTATGGCATTTTAAGGATTCTCTATTTAGAAAATCTCCCTCAACTTTAACTAGTGATATTGCGTGTAGCTAATTTTAATGTCGTAATACATAAATTATATATAAATCTTTAATTGAAGGACACAAGGCTTATATTAAGTCTAGTAGATTATAAATAGTACGTGTATCTTTTGTTCGGAATCCAAATAATATAGAAATAGGCTTCATTATCACCGCTGGAAGGACGTAGGAGGCAGCGTAGGACGTTGAAAAAAACATTTCTACTTTTTATCCCCGAAGGGTTCAGCAGAGGTGTACATAACGGCACTTAAGGCCACTGTGCAGGGTAACATTTACTTTTCACTATTCATATTATTATTCCCTCGTAATAGGGGGTAAGTATATTATCATATACCGGGCACAATTCCAGACTCTGTGCTACAACTGAAATTTTAAAAAAGGAGGTTGGAATCTGTCATTGTGCTTCGATCATTTCTAAGTGATACAATGTCCGCCTACATAGTATCACTTAGAAATTATCGAAGCACCAAATTGCCAGTGGGTTTATTTATGTGTGCGTGCGTAATGGGTTACCACGTTACCAGACTGAAGAAAATGACATGAGATGTGACATGAGATGTCCTTTGTATCAATGTGTGTATGTTCTGTGTGTAGGTCTATAGTAACTAGGTGCCACAATCGTTGTTCCAAGAGACTGTGTCTACCTTTTTTCTACATCCATGATTATCACTGAACGTCCCACCGTTAAGTGCGATGTTTTTGCAACCGTAAAGGTTTAATAATAAAGTGTATTTTAGCGTTATAGATTGTAAAATAATTATGCATGATAGATGTAAAAATGCGTTTTATTGTGTAGTTATTTAATAGCCTAATAGATTTGAGTTATCACAATGAACTTTGAAATTAGTTGGTCTACAAATTTGATTGATTTAGAAAGTGTGTTCCGTACCTACACAGACAATATGTTTATGGCGGATTATTAAAGGTTTCTTTACATATTTATCCTGCAAGTCTTGTAGATTCGTCGCGGAGAACCTAACGGGTTACCGGGGCTCCGGCTCGACGTGTAGGAAAAGGAACAGGGTGGTTTTTAGTCAGTAAGAGTCTGACACTCCCTCCCGCTTCACCCAGGCGGGAGCAGACATTCAATGATTTTCCCCCCTTAAAAAAAGTCTTGTCGATGCACCGTCACTATGTGCTATAGTGCTAAAAACTAACAATAAACTCAGTACATCTTCCAAGATCGCGGCAAGCCTCAAGGCTTGCGCTCTGACGTTTTTACCATGTTCAAACCCAATTACCATATGTATTCTCCTATGAAATTCAGAACAGCTTTCGCGCTTGGTATAAAATTTGCATTGTTAATTGTGAGTTCGCCGCACTAACTTTCCTGTGTGACTCAATGTAAATGTCACAATGTTTAGTGCATCTTAAAACTCTGCCTGCTTTTATCTCAAGTTATCTTCTTTTATTTGTATGCAGTTTATACTTGTGTACCAAGATAAGTTTTCAGGACACGTTTGAGGTTGGCTTCGGAAATCTGAATGTTGAGTGTTAAACTGGGTCATGTGTGTGTCTTTAAAGGCTGTACTGCACTGTGATAAATCAATAATGTTATTATTTAAGCAAAACAAAGTCCAAGATGTCAAATTCATAGATTAAATTCAGTGATCGTTGAAATATCTGTGTTATGTATGATAACAATGTTTCTATTCCGTCTTATTTGTCGCGGAGAACCTAACGGGTAACCGGGGCTCCGGCTCGACGTGCAGGAGAAGGAACGGGGTGGTTTTTAGTCAGTAAGAGTCTGACACTCCTTTCCGCCTCACCCAGGCGGGAGCAGTCATACGATGATTTTCCCCCCTTAAAAAAAATCCGTTTACTTTTATTATATTCTATTTAGTATTGAACCTGAACAACACGGTTTTGTTAAGCGTCGCTCCACTGTTACGAATCTTATGACATTCACTAATTTTCTTTTTGAGAATATGGATCGGCGAGTCCAGGTGGATGCCGTCTATACGGATTTTCGGAAGGCATTTGACAAGGTGGATCATGCACTGCTTCTGGAGAAAATCGCATATAATGGAATTCGAGGCAATCTGCTCCGCTGGTTTGCTTCCTATATATATAACAGGACACAGAAAGTCGTCGTAAATGGTTATGAATCGGACCTCGTGACTGCTGAATCTGGTGTTCCTCAAGGATCGATTCTAGGCCCCCTTCTATTTATAATTTTTATTAATGACATTGGACAGTGTTTCGTCAACACACATTTTTTAATGTATGCTGATGACATTAAAATCTACATGTCTTGCAGATCTGAGTCTGACTGTTTGCGACTTCAGGAAGACCTTGACAGACTTAACGTATACTGTAATAGTAACAAACTTTTTCTCAGCCTCCCTAAATGTCACTCCATCTCATTTACAAAAAACAAAAACAAAATTCAGTACGATTACTCTATAAATAATGTTGGATTAGCGAAGGTCAACTATGTTCGTGACTTAGGTGTAACTTTGGATTCTTGTCTGCATTTCGACCTTCACGTTGATAATATAATCAGTAAGGCCTTTAAGATGTTTGGTTTCGTATTGCGATCGGCCAGTGACTTTGTGCGCCCCTCTACATTTTTGCAGTTACACAAAACCCTGATACGGTCACAGCTTGAGTACGCTGTTGTAATTTGGAATCCGTTCTATAATAAGTCTATACTTAAGACCTATGTCTAGATTGGAAATGGTACAGAAAAAGTTCCTGCGATCTGTACATTTCAAATGTTATCATTCAAAACTTCCATACGAACAGTTGCTTACACGTTATAATTTGCTAAGTCTAGAGTCTAGACGTTTGCTTTTGGCTGTTATGATGCTTCATGGCTTGTGTAATAATAGATTTGACTGCATGGACTTGACCAATCAACTATTTTACGCAGTTCCTAGGTCAGTAACACAGAGGGGGGTGCGGGTTCCGCGTTTGTTCCACACTAACAAGTGCAGGACTAATGCCGGGGCGCGCGCGCCTCTTCGTCGCTTAGTGGAAATATACAACTTGCATTTCATGGGTCTGGACATGTTTTGTCTTTCAAAACATAGATTTAGAAAGCAGGCCGTGGAGCTTCTGACTGCTGGGTTGCTGCAGTGATGGTTGGCTTTTAATTAGTATTCTTTTTCTTAATCATAAGTACAATGTACAATGGTTTTTTTTGTATCAATATTTAGTAAATTTTAATATAATTAAATTACGATAGCGCTACAGCAACACGGCCATTATTGCCGTTATACTTTATATTAAATTGTGGGCAATGGTGTGGGTTACATATTTATTGTAGCTGTTGTTTAATGTAAAACTTTTATGTAAAATCTTAATATGTAACTGTTTTTTGTCCCTTAAATAAATAAATAAATAAATAAATAAATAAAAAAGTATTTATCTATTTATTTATATGAGATTGGCAACAGGCTAGTGCTGAAAATCAGCGCCGCGACTCGAGCAATCGTGCTCGTGACGCGACATTTTAGCTGAGCACTGGCCTTTTTGCTCCTTGTACACTGTTGTTTTTTTATTACTATTTTTTTCTTGTCCTTTCTGTAATGGTGCAAATAAACTGTTTTTCTTTCTTTCTCTCCTCTATTTAGAACATCTGATAAAGTGAATACCTTCGTAGACCCAGGACATGATAAAGGCATTCATTTTAAACGACTTGCTTGCATCACTATCTATCTAGATCTATTTTGACTTGGATCTATTCTTGACATGATGAGTACACCTCTGCCTGTAGCTTTGCTAAGAAAACACGATCCAATAATCCTTACTAATATTATAAATCGGAAAGTGAGTTTGTTTGTTTGTTTGTTCCGCTTTCACGCCGTAACTACTAAATCGATTGCTTTGATTTTTTATAGACGTGATGTTAGAAGTCCGGGTTAAATAATAGGGTACTTTTTATCCCGGAAAAATGTGATATGCCCTAGGGAAAACCAAGGTATTGATATAGATGGCGCTGTGTGTATTGGTACATGTCACATAGGCTACTTTTTATCCTTTTGAGACGCGAGCGAAGCCGCGGATAAAAGCTAGTAATAAAAAATTAGAACTCAAAAAAAATTCATATCTCAACGTTTTTACCGTAACAATTCGAAATATAACCAAAATCGATTCCTTACCCACAATGGCCGAGCCTTCGACATTTCTACTAGCAAGTTAAGTATCTTATATTGCCTGAACTGCAATACTAAGGTTACTCTTATCTAAGCCCCCAGGATTTGTGGTATTTGCTCGCTTTGCGAAGCCCCTTGTACCTGGTTGCCAAAAGCAAATTGATGTTCATAGTAACAGAGGTACTCTTTTCATTCGATCGTTATCAAAAAGCGAGGAAATAGTACGTCTTGAATGTTATCCTTGGTTTGAAGGAGATATTATGTGTATATAGTAGGTAGGTCTATATAGCAGGTAGGTAGTAGGTACTATATAGTAGGTCTCTTATGTGGTTTTGTAAACTCGAAGTGCCACAAGACCATAACACCGTTCTGTTAGTCATGCCATTGAATTCTTTTTATTATAACACATACATAACATCACGCCTTTTATCCCCGAAGGGGTAGGCAGAGGTGCACATTATGCCACTGTACAATGTAACACCCACTTGCACAATTTATGTTATGAGTCCCATGTAATAGGGGATGAGCCTATTG